CGTGCTTATAGCAGGGGTTGTGCTTATAGCAGTGGTTGTGCTTATAGCAGGGGTTGTGCTTATAGCAGGGGTCGTGCTTATAGCATCCAGGCTTGTCCTGTGCATCGAGTCAGTGATTGCTGGTTCTGTATGCTGTGGATTATGCTACCGGCAGTTAGTGCAGTGTGCTTATAGGGATTGGTGACTGCTCACCAAGACATCAGAGCGAAAGGTGGGTTGCCTATATGCAAGTCTCGTCCTCCTCGTCCCTCACCCCCACACCCATCACCCTTACCTTCACGTGGGTCTATTTTTGAGGCGCCTCAAAAATAGACCCCCCTATCTTCAGGTGGGTCGCATGGGATTGACTCATGACACATCCCCGTGCTTGCATACCTACGAATCCCTCTCCCCTTCCCTCACCCCTCCCCTTCCCCCATTCCCTACGAACAACTGGGTCCCATGGGGTTGACTCTCAACACCAATCCCTGTGCTCTCTCTCTCTCTCTCTCCCCCCTCCTTCCCTCCCCACCTCCCCTTTCCCCCCCTTCTCCCGTCCCTTCACACTCACTCAACACAATCAGGTGGGCCTCTTGAGGCAGACCCCGGACACCAATCCGCGTGGTCTCAATCTTAAATCATCCCTCAGCCCAAAGCTGTGTCTCCTTCCCTCCTCTCTTCCCCCCACCCTGCACGGTCCACCCCGTTCCCTTCCAGGGGGTCTCATGGGGCTGTCATCACCTGTATACCAATCTGCGAGCTCTCATGCAAAACAATCTAGTTTTGAGGCGCCTCAAAACAAGCTCTCATGCAAACCAATCTCTTTCTCCTGCTTCCCTCCCCCTCGTTTACCCCTGCCCCCCGCGCCACCTTCTTTTCCCTCTACCCCTTCCGCTGACCTTCAGGTGGGTCTCATGGGAGTGGCTCTGGACACCAATCCCCGTGCACTCAGCGGTGGCAACCAGCGGCGGCTGGCTCTCGCGATTCAGCTCGTGGGTCTTTTCTCTCTTGTCACCACTCGATTTAGTCGCTCTAGTTCTCAACTTGCAACCAGCAGTGGATGGCTCTCTCGCCATTCAACTCGCAACCAGCAGTGGATGGCTCTCTCGCCATTCAACTCGCCAGTCCTTTCACTGTTGTCCTTCTGGGGTGGGGTCACTGTTGCTTCGTCCTTGGTGTCAATGTCATTTGTCCTTCCTTCAATGCCTTCCTTCAATGCCTTCCTTCAATGCCTTCCTTCAATGCCTTCCTTCAATGCCCTTCCCTGCCAACACCGTTGCGTGCTCGTTCACCTGCGTTATTCCTTGCTGTACCGCTTGCCAACCTTCCTTGCTGTACCGCTTGCCAACCTTCCTTGCTGTACCGCTTGCCAACCTTCCTTGCTTTACCGCTTGCCAACCTTCCTTGCTGTACCGCTTGCCAACCTTCCTTGCTGTACCGCTTGCCAACCTTCCTTGCTTTACCGCTTGCCAACCTTCCTTGCTTTACCGATTGCCAACCTTCCTTGCTTTACCGCTTGCCAACCTTCCTTGCTTTACCGCTTGCCAACCTTCCTTGCTTTACCGCTTGCCAACCTTCCTTGCTTTACCGCTTGCCAACCTTCCTTGCTTTACCGCTTGCCAACCTTCCTTGCTGTACCGCTTGCCAACCTTCCTTGCTGTACCGCTTGCCAACCTTCCTTGCTGTACCGCTTGCCAACCTTCCTTGCTGTACCGCTTGCCAACCTTCCTTGCTTTACCGCTTGCCAACCTTCCTTGCTGTACCGCTTGCCAACCTTCCTTGCTGTACCGCTTGCCAACCTTCCTTGCTTTACCGCTTGCCAACCTTCCTTGCTTTACCGATTGCCAACCTTCCTTGCTTTACCGCTTGCCAACCTTCCTTGCTTTACCGCTTGCCAACCTTCCTTGCTTTACCGCTTGCCAACCTTCCTTGCTTTACCGCTTGCCAACCTTCCTTGCTTTACCGCTTGCCAACCTTCCTTGCTGTACCGCTTGCCAACCTTCCTTGCTTTACCGCTTGCCAACCTTCCTTGCTTTACCGCTTGCCAGCCTTCCTTGCTTTACCGATTGCCAACCTTCCTTGCTTTACCGCTTGCCAGCCTTCCTTGCTTTACCGCTTGCCAACCTTCCTTGCTTTACCGCTTGCCAACCTTCCTTGCTTTACCGCTTGCCAACCTTCCTTGCTTTACCGCTTGCCAACCTTCCTTGCTTTACCGCTTGCCAACCTTCCTTGCTTTACCGCTTGCCAACCTTCCTTGCTTTACCGCTTGCCAACCTTCCTTGCTTTACCGCTTGCCAACCTTCCTTGCTTTACCGCTTGCCATCCTTCCTTGCTGTACCGCTTGCCAACCTTCCTTGCTTTACCGCTTGCCAACCTTCCTTGCTTTACCGCTTGCCAACCTTCCTTGCTTTACCGCTTGCCAACCTTCCTTGCTGTACCGCTTGCCAACCTTCCTTGCTTTACCGCTTGCCAACCTTCCTTGCTTTACCGCTTGCCAACCTTCCTTGCTTTACCGCTTGCCAACCTTCCTTGCTTTACCGCTTGCTAACCTTCCTTGCTTTACCGCTTGCCAACCTTCCTTGCTTTACCGCGTGCCAACCTTCCTTCCGGTACCCGTGTCTCAGGTTCGCATGCCAGAACTGCTGCTGCTCGACGAACCTCTTGCTGGACTTGGTATGTGTGTGAGCCTTGAGGGTATGCATGCTCTAAGTGGCTCGAAAGGCTTCGAAAGTCCTCAAGCGTTTGAGATGCTTTCGTGCTCCTCCTCCTCTCGTCATCCCCTTGTGTTTTCTCTCTCCTGTCTTCCTCTCCTCTCCCTCTCTGTCTTTTCTCCTTTCCTCGTGAAGCAAATGTGGTGGGCTTCTGGGAACTCCATATAGTGGTCGTTTTTGCTCCATGCTCCATGCTCCATGCTCCATGCTCCATGCTCCATGCTCCATGCTCCATGCTACATGCTCCATGCTCCATGCTCCATGCTCTCCTTCGCCTTCTTCGTCTCTTCCATCCTCCAGACTGGAGGGCAAGGGCGGACGTGGTGAGGCTGCTGGCAGCACTCAAGAGGGAACGGACCATTCTAGTTGTCAGCCATGACCTCAGGTGATTCTAGTTGTCAGCCATGACCTCAGGTGATTCTAGTTGTCAGCCATGACCTCAGGTGATTCTAGTTGTCAGCCATGACCTCAGGTGATTCTCGTTGTCAGCCATGACCTCAGGTGATTCTAGTTGTCAGCCATGACCTCAGGTGATTCTAGTTGTCAGCCATGACCTCAGGTGATTCTAGTTGTCAGCCATGACCTCAGGTGATTCTAGTTGTCAGCCATGACCTCAGGTGATTCTAGTTGTCAGCCATGACCTCAGGTGATTCTAGTTGTCAGCCATGACCTCAGGTGATTCTAGTTGTCAGCCATCTTCCAGGTTATTCTTCATGGCTCCAAGTGATCATGGCCTCAGGAGATTCTTCATGGCCTCAGGTGGTTTGTCATGGCTTTAGGTGATTCTTAACAAACTCCAGGCGAATGTGCATGACCTTAGGAGGTTGTTCATGATCCGAGGCGCTTTTTCATCTTCTCATGTGATGCTTCAGCCTGGTGCTGGTAGTTGTTGCCAGCCAACCACTTTACCAGGTAATCCTTCAGTCCGAGTTTTTTTTCCATCATTGTCACATTCACTTTCCTCCTCTCTGCAGGGAGCTGGTCCCCTGGATCGGTCGTGGCGCGTGCGGATGGGGCGGAAATCCTCTCCTGTACTTTATAGTCATATGTGTCCTCTCCCCAATATTGTCTCATTCATTCTCATTCTCTCTGCAGGGAGTTGTCCCCCTTAGTGGATCGGTCGTGGCGCATGCAGATGGGGGGAAGGTTGAGGGAGGAACCACTGCCAGCTGCAGTGTCAGATGATGAGGGTGACATCAATTTTCCTTGGCGTGCGTGAAGGATAAGGACGTGTTCCGATGAAGTTTGGGAGTTGTCACCTCCTCATTATGTGTTCATTATTTGGGCCAGCTAAGTGTTCTGAAAAATGTAATGCACATTTAGTTGACTTGGCATATCATGTAATGTTAGATCCTTTCAATGTGAAATACAAGAATGCAAATTTACACGTTACGCAAACATGGACGCCCTAATGCATACGCGGAGCGGACGTCCCTCCCATCCCAGTGCTTCAAGTCGAAGTGTCAAGACCCCTTCGCAGGTTTTCTCTTCCCTTATGAACAGGTTACCATGTTTACGCCTCGACCTGCTGCTCTTCCCGTCGTCCGCGACGAACATACCTCCGTGTATCGCGAGTCTTTACAACTTAACTGTTCTACTGTTATTAGCAGGTTTAAGAACATGCGGTCCTTTCGCCAAGTTTGCCTCTCGATTAAAGCCCGCAATCCGGTTTGTCCAACTGTTTAAAGCCGTTGACCCAAATTGCAGAAAAAATTTTCGAAGTTTATTAATCTTGAAACTGCCCTTCTGGTAACCCAGTTCCGCAAAACGAGAGGGAAAACTAAGATCGCGCGCCAAAAAGACGGGAAACATGTGATAGGCGTGCGCCACCCCCAGCCAATTCCGCCCCTGCCCCCGATACACCAGGCGTTTGAGCAGAAAGAAACTTGAAACATGCGCTCATACATTTTGGAACCTTTGATGTGCAACCCAGCCCAGCGCCACCACGCCTAAGGGCGTGGTACTTCTGCAAAAACTGGGTCAAGTTGCGCAGCGCAGGAATCACAATTTGCGAAGTGCCTGAAACGATAGCGAATCGTTTGTTACTAGATTCCCCGCACCAAATCTAGTTTCGCGTTCGATTTGCATTTTTCGTGCGAGCGGCGTAAAAACACAAATGTTCTTTACAACAGTTGATATGCGTGCGCCACCCCACCCCAAAGTTGTTTGGCGAAAATTGCCAAGTCAAGTTACCCACACGAGTTGCGCAGCAGGGTCAAGTTGCACAGCCCAAATCTCGCCAAAAGCACCACGTCCTTACGTGTGCCTTCCTATTGTTCGCTGTTCATCACCCCTTCCACACTCCCACTCTCTCCCTCCTTCCCCCCCACCCCACCCCCCCAACCAACTTCCCGCGCCTAGCGCGCCCCTCCTTTCCCTTTTCCGTCCCACCCTCCCCTTTTGTCCTTTTATATTGGCGGTGTTTTGCGTGCTCGGTTTGTTTGCGCCCTGATTGGTTCATGAGGTTTCATCAAGAGTGTTTTTGTCGCGCAAGGTGTTGCGACGCTCGCTCGTTGACGAAAACCACCCGCCACCTCGCACCACTGCCCTACACCCCTGCGCGCTGCCGTGTCCAACTTTTTGCCCCTATCATGTTTATTTATCTTGCACGTTTTGGGTCAACGGCTTTAACAGTTGAACGCGGACGAAGGAGATTGGCTTGCGAGTGGCGAATTCTCGCAAATGCACGCGAATGCCCACGAGGAGGAAAGGGGTGTTCGCACCGCTAAGCTTGGCAGGTTGGGCCCCGACGAATCTGACGGCCAAAATTCGGGCTGGCGAGAATTGATTGGACGGCGACAGTGGGTTCCCCACGACATCGTGGCCCAACGCCCAACGAAGCACCCCTTTGTGCTGGCCCCGTCGCCCAGCGCGGGCGACGACGACGCACACAGAATCCCTGTACTGTACTGGGGGTGGGTGGGAGGGGAGTGTGCACCAAGCCCCTCCTTTGCGTTACCCAAAAACCAGTGATCCAATCACGTTACGCTCGAAGTTGGCTTACAAGATGGGGATTGGTTGACGAGCCACGAAATTCAGGTGGAGGAATATCGCAAGGCAGGGTGTTTCGCAACCACGAACCCAGCCGCCAACCGAACCACCAGTAACCCAGCGAAGTGGCTCCGCGAAAGCCCAACCAACCAGGCGAAGCCACGAAACAAGTCCAAACCTAGCCTACCCTTGACACGCAACCCAAACCCTAGCGACTGCGACAGCCCACCTCCCCTCCAAGAAACAAACGCTGAACACGCCTTACAGCCACCCTTCTCGTGTGCCTCCGCCAACTGCCGCAGTCACGCTCATCTAGCAGGTGGTCAGCGAGGAGCATTCGTGACTGTATTCTACGGCGGAAGGCTGCGACTTCATGTAGGACGCGCTTGCGGGGGGCCAAACTCGTGAAAAACCCCTATCGTGAGCGGACGACGCACAGCAGCACCCTACAAGGCGGCGCGCATCGAGAGGAGCATAGCGAATACGAATCTATCTCGCTACTCATCCGAATTCATGCCATTGCTATGCCCCTGCACTCAATCCCTGTCTCGTACTGCTTTTCCTCGCACCCCCTTTCTGCCCTCCGCGCATACCTGTCCCACCACCTGGTCCGCGTCGGGCACTAACTTCCGGGCTCGTGCTAACTTGCGCTCCGCGCTCCAACTGCCCTCCCTCCCTCGAATCCCCATCCACCCTCTTCCGTGGCAAGCAACCTGCTGGCGCATTACACCCCTCCGCGTTCCTGTCCGCCCTCCCATCCCATCCACGCACTCCTCTCTATGCGCGCCTACCCAACCCAACCTTTTTGGACAATCCGGACACCGCGTCTCCCCTCCGGAGTCCGGGTAGCCCGTCGCCAAGTTTGCTTCTCACCAGCCTCTTCCGGGTTACCGCTGCGTCTCCCCACCGCCTCTTCCGCGTTTCCGTCTAGCCCATCTAGCCCGTCTAGTCCGTCTAGTCCGTCTAGTCCGTCTAGCCCCTCCAGAGTCCGGTCCGGACGCCATTGCCCGTCGCTATGGACCGCGCAAAGCCCATCAAGCCCGTGAAGTACGGGCTCGAGATTCGGCGCAAGCCGCAGAGCCAGCGGGGGGCCGCAGCAGCGAGGCCGTTGCCGCCCGTGCGCGGCGACCCGAAGCTGCAGTCGCTGTTCGGCGACGACGACGACGATGAGGGGATCGAGGCGGATATCGCGCGGCAGAATATCAAGAAGCGGAGCCAGCGAGAGGTACGGTTGGGGGGGGGGGAGAGATGTGTGTGTGTGTGTGTGTGTGTGTGTGTGTGTGTGTGTGTGCGGGGGGGGGGGGGGGGGGGGGGGGTTGGGTTGGGGGGGATGTGTGCATGCTCGTGCTGGCGTGATGGCTGCGGTGTGCACGTGGTGCCGCCGGGCCGGGCCGACCCGAAGCTGCAGTGATGACTTTTAAGTCGCTGGTCAGTGATGACGATGACGAGCATGAGCTCGTTGGGTGGGGGGGGGGGAGGGGCAGCAGGGGGCGGGGGTAGAACGGGTGAGACTCCTTGTTGCATGAGACTTGAAGCTGCAGTTGCTGTTGGGCGTCGATGACGGCGACAACGAGGAGGGGGTGGAGGCGGGCATCGCGCGGAGGTAAGAAGCGGAGCTAGCGGGAGGCAGGTACGGGAAGGGGGGCCGGGGGAAAGGGTTATGCGTGCATGTGTCAGCCCTTGGTTGCATGAGACCCGACTGACGCTGCTGCCGCTGTTCGGGTCAGGAGCGTCAGCTGGGTATGGCTCATGCAACCAAGGACTGACACCAAGGACTGACACACGACCCGGCGGGCGATGGCGATGGCGATGGCTCCGCCGATGGCAATGACCGTCATCAGGGCGATGGCGACGGCTAACACGACCCGGCGGTGGGCGATGACAGCGGCGATGGCATGGCGGAGCAGCAGCGCGAGTTAGCCAGGCGGAAGGCCCCTCATCGCTCTAATATCTCATCCAACTTCCATGGTGGTTAGGAAGTAGGATGAGCTTCCCCCTTCCCTCGCCGTGCCGGTGAAAAATTGGCCAGCGAACGGCCCCCTCATGTCTCCCTCCTTCCCTTCTCATGTCTCCCTCCTTCCCTTCTCATGTCTCCCTCCTTCCCTTCTCATGTCTCCCTCCTTCCCTTCTCATGTCTCCCGCCTTCCCTTCTCATGTCTCCCGCCTTCCCTTCTCATGTCTCCCGCCTTCCCTTCTCATGTCTCCCTCCTTCCCTTCTCATGTCTCCCTCCTTCCCTTCTCATGTCTCCCTCCTTCCCTTCTCATGTCTCCCTCCTTCCCTTCTCATGTCTCCCGCCTTCCCTTCTCATGTCTCCCGCCTTCCCTTCTCATGTCTCCCGCCTTCCCTTCTCATGTCTCCCTCCTTCCCTTCTCATGTCTCCCTCCTTCCCTTCTCATGTCTCCCTCCTTCCCTTCTCATGTCTCCCTCCTTCCCTTCTCATGTCTCCCGCCTTCCCTTCTCATGTCTCCCGCCTTCCCTTCTCATGTCTCCCGCCTTCCCTTCTCATGTCTCCCTCCTTCCCTTCTCATGTCTCCCTCCTTCCCTCTGATGCCTTCCTCCCTTACCTCCCTACGTCTGCCTGATCGGCTCTTCGCTCTCTCAGACGGAGCAGCAGCAGGAGGCAGCCATGGCTGACTGCGGTGAGGACCCCTTGGTGTGTTTGACTGTGACAGGGTGGTCAAGCTGTAAGGCATACGTCTCCTCATGTGCTTTCTTCCTCCACTCTCCTCTCCTTGTCACCTCCCGTGCAGACCGAGCAGCAGCACGAGGCGGCCATGGCGGAAGACCCCTCGGTGTTTGACTACGATGGGGTGTACGACGACATCCATGCAGCACGCACGTCCAAAGCCAAGGAGGCCGTTCAGAGACAGGTGGGTGCCATGCGGTGCGGTGTGGTGCTGCGGTGCGGTGTGTGTGGTGCTGCGGTGCGGTGTGTGTGGTGCTGCGGTGCTGTGTGTGTGGTGCTGCGGTGCTGCGTCTGTGGTGCTGCTGCGGTGCTGTGTGTGTGGTGCTGTGTGGCTTTTTGTGACCGAAGTGTTTGACTACGACGGGGTGTATGACAACATCCGTGCCGCATGGGCGCCCTGAGCCAGGGAGGCTGTTCAGAGGCAGGTGAGTGGCTGCTGTTCGGTGCTGTAGAGTACCATGAGGTGCTGTGTGGTGCTGTGTGGTTGAGGACCCCTTGATGTTTGACTACGGCGAGGTGTGTGACGGGGTGTTTATGCTAAGGAGGCCGTTCAAAGGCAGGTCAGTGCTGTGTTTGTGGCGCTGTGTGGTTGACATGTGGTTGTCATGTGGTTGCCATGTGGTTGCCATGTGGTTGCCATGTGGTTGCCATGTGGTTGAAGAACCTTTGGACCTCGGTGTTTGAGTACGATGGCGCATGACACACAC